GACTTAATTTTTCCTTGTCAGCAAATGAAAGTCTTCGCGGTCTAAAACTAATAGGTCGATCATGAGTCAAGTTAATAGTCATTTCGATTTTCTTTGAAGGACTTATATCCCCTGTTTCTGCAACGTACTCGCTCTTATACAATTGCTCAATACGCTTCGTTGTTTTGAAATCAAGATTCGGATCGATATTCAACGTTTCGGCAACGGATGACGGATGGTCAATATATGAAACATGCAAGATTTGCTTAGAAAAATCCGCGCTGTCAACCGATTGCGAGCCTGCTCTCGAGATACTAATTTTCTCTCCTAACAATATTTTAACCAGAGGTGACGAAGTAAAATCTCTACCGAGTAAGGCGGCACAAGTTATTGCAGTATTCGGTACTACAAAAAAATTAATTTTCAATTCAATATCATTAACTAGGACAACCTTTACAAAAATTCCCAAAATTTTTAACTTTGTACCGTTAATACCATAAAAAGACTGATTTTCCGTAACCGGAGTACAAACATGAGCAGGAACAAAATCATTTTTTATTAAACTTATTGGAGATCCCGAATCGATCATCGCTATAAGCAAATATTTACATTTATTCTCCAACTCGTCCGCGACCGAATACGAAAGAGATACCAAATATGGAGCGCTCGGTAAAGATACTTGGACCATGTTCGTTGTATTTTCCGTCCTTGGCCGTGACTTATTATTAGGGCAATCTCTTATGCGATGCTACGGGCTACCGCATCCAAAACAAGAACCCCTTTCGCGCTTCTGTTCCTGTTTGCACTCCCTGGAGAGATGTCCGGCCGCTCCACAATTATAGCAGCGAATAAAATTATTTCGTGCTGCAGGAGCTCCTCCTTCACGTGGCGATTTTGATGATGTCGCTAGTCGCGGTCCTCTCGAAGATCGCTCTGCATTGCCCCTCTGTTCGTTGTCCAACGACAGCTTCCGGAAGGCATTCAACAAATCCTTCGTTGATGTAAAACGCAGCATCCGCGCTTGACTCCGCATACGAGCATCCGGTACTCCGTCAATAAGACAATCAATAAGCTCCTCCTCGTCGATGGATGCTTTATTTGCGAGAATTACTTTTTCGTGAAAATATTCCGAGAACGCCTCTCCATTTCGCCACTTGTGTTTCTCAAAATCCTTCCGCAACGTTAATCTGCTAGGGCGATTATCAAAAATGCAAGACATTTGGTGGAACAGCTCGGCGGCGCTCAATTCCAAGTGCTCCGGTTTGGAGTGAAACCAGTTCAGTGCTTTGCCCTTCAAACGCAGGCTGGTCAATACCTTGATCGAATTCTCATCAAGCCGATAGGTTGCACGCAAAAGTTCAATTTGTCTTCTCCATGCATCAAAATTATCACAGTCTCCACGGAATTCATTCACCATATCGCTAATTGTTCGTACATTGAAACCTGAATCAATAGCGCGATCGCCGGTACCGCTCCCAACGCCGGACGACATCCCCGCTTTGCGTCGAACAAGACTCAATTCTCGCTCCAACAGAGCTTTTTCGCGTCGCAATATTTCAAGTTCCCTTGCCATCAACTCCGGTGGTACCGCGAGACGATCCAAATTTTCCACAACTTCTTCAGAACGCGACGCCATCTCCACGTTTGGGTTTTGCCGCACCGATGTAAATGTGTTCACTTCCGATGACGGTAACCCCTGCATCGAACTGCTACCCCTAAGATGCTCAATCACACTCCGCCAAGCTCCCTCGTCGGCAGCCAATATCCGCGCCACCAATTCGGCCTTCGTCCCAGCCGTAGACTGTCCGATCCGTCGCGTAATCTCCTTCAAAGTCGTAACGGTCAACTCGTTTAAAATGTCTTTAGGTGCCAGTTCCATTGTCACGATAATATTATTACAATTCAAACGGCAATCACGTAGCGGGTAAAACCGTTACGGCTCCAATATCACAATAACAAAGAAAAACACGAACACACAGTATCAAAAAAAAAGACAATATTCGTGGCGAGCACAAAGCCACATCAAGTCAAATATCAATTATGAAGAGCAATTTAATGTCAATCACAAAATCCAAGACGGTAATCAATTCGGCAGTCGTCAATTAACTATGCAATATACACCGTCGTAATAATCACCCGCAACTTAGCATATGCGACAATTCCTTTGTCCCGATGTCCAACGATCCTGAATCCCGCTTCTGATGTTGTAGAAGTTTTTAAATATATATATGAAGAGGAGATAGTTATAATTAGGTTCTCAATTATTAGGATAAAATGTTTCAAGTGTAGGGCATGTAAGAAGGAAATGCTTGTCAGGAACAATAAAGAGAGTTGCGGTAACTGCGTGTAATTTAAACCGATATATATTAAAGGTGGTATTAGCGCGTACAAAAAGTCAGGAATGTTGCGCCGCCAAATAAACACGACTTTCTCGATCGGCTGGTCTACGACTGTCGATTCGATATCGACCCGCTGTGTCGCGCAACCGAAAAATCACGATCGTGTGCGATCGATTATATTCGTGGCCAGGGATGTACAACTTATTTCGGTGAAATGTGTAATTGCCCACAATGCAAAACGTTTTTGGTGGAAAATATTTCTTTCGACAACCAGTTCACGAATTGATCGCTTCTGGGATCACTTTATGCTCACTAATGTTTAGTGACATATGTGAATTATCAATCGATATATCGTTTTACAGCCATTTCCTCGCTTACTCATTCCTATTCTCTCTCTCTCTCTCTCTCTATTCTTTTTAAAGAAAGTCTGCGGGCAAAGAGGGGCAAGCATCTCTCGAAAATTATATTTTCGTCCCATTATGTGAACACACTACAAAAACACAACTCGTTTTTTAAATTCAACGCGTTATAAGGCCGATATTACATTTGTCGTACGACAAACTTTTTAAGCATATTGATTGGCTGCAAAATAGAAACTTTCTTGAGTTTCTAGAAATTAGCTAATCAATGCGCTTAAAAAGTTTGTCGTACGACAAATGCATGTGTGTGTGCATGGTACAGTCGACTTATTCCCCGATACATACATATATACTTAGATACATGCATGCTACAAATATCGCGTAATAATAAAAAGAAATGCGCATCTTTATAAACGAATATTCTCTAACCAAATAAAAAAATTATTTTCATATTGATTAAAATTAATTCGATACATAAAACCATTATTTATAAATATTTTACGACAAAAATTAAATCTCTATATTTTTGCTTTAGAAAAAGTTCATTTTCTATAAATATAGGCAAGCTTATATAAATATGCAAATGTTTGGTAACATAAGAGGATAAAATATATCAAATTTTCTTTTCTTATTTATAAATTACTAAATATAACTATAAATAATAATAAATTGTCATAAAGATTATATGTATATATGTATATCATGTTCCTCGCACATTCGTTTACACGTCATTCATGCTGCTCTCTCTCTCTCTGCTCGTTCTTTATTGTATTCTTTCTTTCCCATTATTGTATTCTCTTATTTATTCGAATTTTATTCTTTTTATTCTCGTCTTCCTACATAATAATAATTATTAATTTAATCATTAATTTATTCATCTTTTATAGAGTATAAATGAATGAGATATTGTGTATCTTATAAATAGAAAAAGTATTTAATTATGTGTATTTTTGTATGTACATGTGTTGTATTTAATTATAGTTAAATAGAAAAAGAAAATAACTTATTGTTGTGTATCTCATTTATGCTTTATAACGCGTGAGTGAATATGCGAGGAGCATGAAGCTAAGCGATACGTAGTACATAGCGAGCGAGCGATTAGGAAGAAACAGAGCGTATGATCGAAAGAGAAAAGATACTGCAATAATGTTAGTGCGTACATGTATACTCTCACACGCATGAAAGAGACAAAGATAGTACGATTATATCTATCCTTGTCATATAAGATTGCAGCTCTGCCTATCGCGACATCACGCAACTAATCTACTGCTCTGTTTTTGTTGAGACGTCCAACTAACTACCCGTTAGTCTCTTTCAACGTTTTTACAGAAGGGTGGTGGTTAGTTAATAAGGTTCTGACTCACAGAATTCGATAGACAGTTTCTTTATTCTCACGTCCTTTTTTTTCGCGGGAACCTCACGCCACAGACTTCCCGCTCGCGAGTTTTTTATCTTGGTTCTTTCACGCTCTCTGCCTGAAGCGAGGCAGAGAGCGTGAAAGAACCAAGATAGAAAACTCGCCTAGAGCGCCTGCAGCCCTCTATAGTTAAGGGTGCGTAAGAAAAATATCCCTAGCGCGACCGGCCCCTAGTGCAAACGGCCGGCACAAATGCTAAGTCTCGATTCTCAACATTCTCCCACCTCTTTTGTGGAAGCAAAAGATCAAACAACTATAGAACGTACAATATTAAACAAAATAAGATCAATTACCAATAACCTAAAGCTTATACCAGCTATACATACTAAATAAGTCTTTTCTCTCTTCTTGTAACTCAAACGGAAATACTCTCTTTAAATAGAATTCTTGATAAAATAACGAAGAAACGAAACAATTTACATCTAAACTCACAAAGTGAATTTAATAGGTTTACGGACTCGATGTCCACTTCGTGTCGAAGTCCACATTCAACGCATTCTCCCTGTCGTCTTCGGGATTCGTGCTCACTGTATCGTCTTCGAGAATCGTGCGCACTGTATCGTCTTCGGGATTCGTGCTCACGGTAGACACAGGATCATCTTCCTCCATCATGGTAGGTGTACCCTCCATCAGGTACAACCGCTGAATAGGACGAATGAGCTCTCCAGAGCTTAACTTCAGCCGGGCGACACGCGATATGCCATCCTTCCCGGGCAACAGATCCAGGACTCTCGCCAAGGGCCACTCCAAACATTTACGGTTGTCTGAATCAACCAGTACGACATTTCCTATTCTTACAGGACGGGAAGACGGCAGTTTTCCGTGATGCACAAGCTCTGCCAGGTATTCTTTACGAAACCTCTCTTTTAACATACTGCGGACACGTGTCAAATGTCTATATCTTCCTCAAAGACCATTCTTCTCCAACTGATCGAGATCCGGGACGGCTACCTCGGGAATCTCACGTAGAAACATAGCCGGCGTGAGAGGGACTAGATCTTCACCGTCTTCGGCCACATAGATCAGTGGTCTTTGGTTGATAACCGCCTCCACATCGATCACACAGGTCGTTAACTCTGTGTATGTCAGGCGGGCCTTACCTAATATCCGTTTTAGTAAATCCTTGATCAATCTTATGAGGCGCTCCCAAAATTCACCCCACCAAGGTGCAGCCGCTGGATTGAATTTCCAAAAAATTCGTTGTATAGCTGTCTCCTGTTCAATCTTTCTCCAATCCAGGGAGTTGAGCAAATTTTCTGCACCAACAAAATTAGTGCCTCGGTCACATCGTATAGTCGAAGGTCAACCACGCCTTCCAATGAATCGTCGTAGAGCTAATAGAAAAGCTTCGGCCGAAAGCAAAGTTATTAACTCCAAATGCACACACCTGTAGACTGCGCAGGTGAAAAGTACTATCCAAACTTTTTCTCCGGTCTTCAGGTACAGTGGACCACAGAGATCAACTCCTGTAGTTTCAAAAACCATAGCGTCTTTAACACGATCTTTGGGCAGAGCGCCAGGAGTAGCTTCAGCTCGTTTTTGCTTGAATCTGCGACATATAACACAAGAAGCGATTATCCTTTTAATTTCTCGACGGCCGCGCAATATCCAGAATTGTTCTCGCAGCTTGCTCAAAACAAACTGTACTCCTGCGTGACAGAAACGATGATGGATCGAACGAATTAAGTAGCTCACTATTGGATGACCTCCTGGAAACTGAATTGGGAAACGAAGGCCTACTGAGTCGTTCCGATGGACGAGCTTTGTCTTGACTCGCACCAGTTTATCTTCTCCAAGTAATACTTCCAGTCCATGGAAACTTGCTCCCACCGTTTCAAACGATTCTTGTAGAACTAACCACATAAGTTTCAGTTCACCTTTGTTGAGTTCTTCAGTTGTCAACTCCTCGCACAAACGTGGTTTGGATTTCTTTTGGGCTTTACACCAGGTCGCAATTCGCAAGATGAACGCCATGGCTCGGACATTCTTCTCAAAGCTGCCTAATCTAACTCCGAACATAGGTTCTTTAGGTATGTTGATCATCGATGCAATCGCTGTTCTTCTCTTCTCAGAAGCCACAATTTCTTCATCTGGTTCTTCTTCGACGGACGGCCAGCTCTGCGGCACGTCACTCAACCAATCTGGGCCCATCCACCAACTGGAGGCCTTAAGCCTTTTCGCCGTACACCCCCTTGACGGCAAATCCGCGGGATTGAAATTCCCAGAAACATGTCGCCAATTTTCAACACTCGTACAGGACAGGATCTCTCTCACTCGATTGCCGACAAGCGTACCCCATTGATCATTGCGGCGAATCCATGCCAAAGCTGTTGTGGAATCTGTCCAATAAATGGTAGGTATTCCTTCAAGTTCCAACGATGTCTTCACACTTACAGTCAATCTGACTGCGAGGACACACCCAAACAATTCCAGAAGAGGTATAGAGACCCTCCTAATAGGAGTTACTCTGCTCTTGGCTTGAAGCAGCTGTACCGAAACATTGTTATCCCCTTGGGTTCGTAGGTACACGACCGCTGCATAAGCTTCTTGGCTAGCATCAGCAAAAACATGTAATTGCCAGCCCTCACGATGGATATTTCCTCCGGTAATGTTCCGAGAGATGCGAATAGTTGGAAGGTAAGCCAGTTCCTTGTATCAGATCTTAAACTCTGAAATTACTTCCTCTTCTAAGGCTTCATCCCAGACTCTCTTTGCAAGCCATGCTTGTTGTAGTATTTTCTTAGGTCTCAGGAGAACAGGACATAAAAACCGATAGGATCAAAGATTTGATTGACTACCGACAAAATTGTGCGTTTAGTGACGATTGCAAAGGCCTCCTGATTCTTCCAATCCGTCCACAACCTATCTTCTCGTCGGTCCTACATCATGCCAAACACTGGGGTCGTATATCCCTTTTCCCTTTTGTCAGGCTTATTGGACAAGTTCACGTCGTTTGTCCCCGTCATCAAGATTCCTTCACCGGTTAGTTCTCCAGCGGTCCAGACCCACTGGCGTAGTTCCATTTTTGCATCAGCCAACAATCGGCAGGCGTCATTCTTGAAGCATCTTAATTCTTCTACGGTGTTGACAGACGTCAGCGCGTTGTCTACATACATAGACTTCAATAGTCTTTCCGCTACCTCTTGTTCTTCTGGGCCTACATTAGAGAGATGAAATCGGATTACGGCAGCAAGTAAGAAGGGACTGCAATTGACGCCAAATACTACCCGTTTGTGTCGCAGCACCATCAGTTGTTCTTCACGTCCTTCCTCCCACCATAGAAACCGGAGGAAGTCTCGATCTTCAGCCGCCGTCTCGATCATCAGAAACGCTTTCCGTATATCAGCAGATACCCCAATATTGCCACAACGAAATCGATTCAACACGGATGGCAGGAGCTCAATCAGATTGGGCCCTTTAGCTAGACAATCATTCAGCGATGGTGTATGTCCACTCTTGCACGAAGCATCAAACACGGGACGGACCGGTGTCGTCAAACTTCCAGGCTTCACTACTGGCCGATGAGGCAGATAATGTCCACGATTGTTTTGCTCTTCTGCTGGCACTACCTCTACAATTTCCTCCAAGATCCATTTTCGGAATATTTTATTGTACTGTTCTACCATGTTTGTTGACTTCAATCTCCTCAGGGTGCCGTCGAGTCTTTTCTTCGCAGCATTGAAGTTGTCCGGAACGGTTTTGAGAAAGTGTTGCTGGGCTTCTGTATCTCTTTCCGCTTGTGACTTATGAAGAGCTGATTCTCGGATGCCAATAAGCTCCAAGTCCCACAAGTTAGTCACGTTACTCTCGGCCATCATGGAAGTAAATACCATTAGCGACGCACTGTTGGATTCATATTTCCTCAATTCTCCCGTCAGAGTCCATCCATACGCCGTTTCAAGCGCAATCAAGCCGCATCTCAAACTTTTCCTTCTCCCAGTGAGCAACGATGCAAAATTATCAGCTCCGATCAAGACCTCAATCTCCGGTGAACCTTCTCCCACGTCATTCACGAATATCCTTTTTTGCTTAAGATCCTCGATTACGTTCTGCTTATTAGCTCTCGGCAATAGCCCGCAGATTTTTTCCTGGTCCAACAAAATCAACGATGTCTTGACAGATCCATCCAAACTTTCGATACTCACTTGGTATTTCTGATGTTGCCTGATTTCCCGAGAACATCCGAAGAGAATGTGACACATATTCACGGTTCCGGCAGTTTTCAAACCGAGTTTGGCTGCCGTGCTCTTGAGTAAATAGGATCTATGACAACCGCTGTCAAACACGAGACGTACTCTTCGTCGTACGCCATTGTTTTCCAGATTCACGAACACAGTCTGTAATATGACATCTCCGGAACACTGCATATTAGACATCGAAGGTGTGGTTTGATTGGGTGTCAGTTTCGATGTAGATTCGGGCACCGATTGATTCTTCTCTACTTCCGGACACAACATCGAACTATGTCTCCTTTGACAAAAAGCGCATTTTACTACGGCTTTGCAATTTCGCGACCCGTGTCCAGTCTTTAAACATGCGTAGCATGCTTTCTTTTCAGTCACGATTTTCTTACAATTCTCTAGATTCATGGAGACTGCCTTCGCGCAGAGTTGACTCTCATGAGCCTTATCACAGAATAGACATCCAACGTTCGAACTCACAAATAGCCCAGATGCCGTAGGACCATTTTCTTTTCAAAACGTAACGTTTTTATTTGCCTTCCTTTCCGGCTTCTTTTGAATTTGAAATCCCGCACGTACTAATTGACGTTGGTCTTCACACTAGACTTCCAATTTCAGAAAATCTAGCAGTTGTTTCAAATCGGTTTGGGGCGGCCTCATCGTCGACCCATCCTTGCCCCAGTTTGGACTTCTTTGCCACGCAATAAGCACATCTTCCGGCAACGTAGATTCGACGATTGGATACAGAAACGTCGACATCTGGTCGCTGCTAACTCCTAAGGTCTCGAGCGCTTGTAAATGAGCTGAGAGTTTGTCAAACATTTTTGAAAAACTTACATTTTGCTGGCTTCCATTGATTATGACCATTTTTACCAATTCACGGATGTACACTTGCTTAAGTATCTTCTCATTACCGAATCGCTCTTGTAGTGCCTTCGATGCCTTGCCGTAATTGTCACCAGACTGAGGAAAAGTATCCACCAAATCCGCTGCTTTCGTCCCTGGCGTCATACATTGTACGATATACTGAAATTTGTCCGCATTGTCTAACTGTTCGTCTTCGTGAATTTTCTTAAATTGAGACCAAAAAGAAAGCCATTCTTTTACGTCACCATTAAATTTATGCGCTTCGTACTTCGGGAGCTTATACGTCTTCCTTCTCCTCATCTCATTTAATTGGTGTAAAAAAAACAAATAATTACATTGTAAATAAGTACATACTTTTTTTTTTATATAATTATTTTGTTTATACTAATTGATTCGTCTCATTATTCTGTACATAAAAGTATTACGGTAAGATTATCGAGAACTAAATATTTTACGAGATATTTTATTGTTTATATCAAAATATGTCAGATTAAAATATAAAATAACTCAAAAAGTACTCAATGAAAAAATACTTTATTATAGTGTTTTGAAAACGTCTGGACAAGGGCAACAAGAATATGCAATAAAAAATAGGGAGTTCCATTTAAGAAAACATCGATCACATTGAGAAGCCTTTACTTGCGCACAGTACAATTCGACACGTTGCAATTGCACACTGTGATATTAGACACATAAAGTTGCGCACCGTTCGATTGGACACATTTCAATTGCGCACAATTCGTTTGGACACATTTCATTTGCGCACCGTTCAATTGGACACATTGTTTTTGGACATTTGGACATATGTTAAGGACATAATTCTGAGTAACTTTTTCTTCTAATTTAATCGTCGCTCGTTGCTTATTAAAAAGTTATTAACAAACAAAAATTTGTAAAAATCAGATATACGTTATGTACGGAGAGAATGCCAGACAATTCTCTAAGATTTTTTAAAAATGCTCATTGAAATATAATCTTTCAAATGACATATAAATGTTATATGTTTGAAGTTTATTGGAGATTGAGTTTGCGCTATAATGCCATTTAGAAGTGAAAACAGAACGAACTTTTGCATCAACCTAATAATATAAATAGAAAATATCTTTGTTCAAATATATCTTATCAAATATATTTTAGCAATCAAGTTACTCACTTTTATCCAATTCAATTTCCAAATTTTTGTAGTGATACACTCAGTCCTAAAATAAGAAATTTTATAAAATAAACATTACTATATATACGTATATTGATACTATGAAAATATTAATACATGCATGTGTGCCCGCATACACTGTGTGTGTTCACACACGCACACGCACGCGCACGCACACACACACACACACACACACACACACAAATAATGTACAAAACATTAGCTTCTCCCTCTCTCCAAATAGATAAAGTCTTACCAAGATTCTTCCTTAAAATAATATTTAGCCAGTGTTAAAACACAGCAATTAGATATTTGACTTTCTTTTTTCTTTACAGTTGTGACGTTCTAGCCGCACGTCTAATTTTTAAATAAACATTAAATTTATTGTTAACACATCCATAGGAAGTGAAAGAAACAAATTCTAAAAGAAAATTGTTCGTTTATATAGAGAGAGTAATATTAAATGTAGTATTCATACTTGCGAAGCACCCCGTATATAACCAACGCTCAAGCGCTCTAGCGGGTGACATAAAATAACCATACCATATAGACTATAAGAATAAGTAATAATAATAACTTTATATTTGCATTTAAAATAATAAAGACTACACAGTCAGTCAGACTAACAATGCGAATGTTACAAATTAATACATATACAGGGTGAGTTTTTCAACTAGAAACTGTAAAATATCTCGGAAAGTAAGCTTTATCGAAAAAAATGTTTCAAACAAAA